GTGAACCGACTAAGTGTATGTTGATGGCGATTAGATACCTGAATTCACTCATGACACCTGGCGTCTCCAGCCGTCAGTTTGATAAAGCTCAAAAACTCAAATCGGGAAATCTAACGCGACCTACTAGACCATGTTTAGTTGTGTGCGGAAATTATTTTAAATTTGTATGGCAGATCGTTATTCGAGCATCGTACCACACTACCTGCAAGACCACTCAATACGTTTATTTTGGGAATGTCTCTCACCTCTGGTTCCTCCCGTTATCAGTCGTTCAAACCGTTTTGGAATCGTTTTTGTCTTCGACTGATGATCGAATGTCATATCAACTACAAATCATTATTTACGTCTTTTGGGTCTCATTGAACTTTGTTCAAATCTGCACCCCCCACCCTGATCTCTGTTTTACTGTCAATTCATTCAGATACGAAGTGGATCTGTTAAAAGACAAGCTGGAGGATTTGACAGACTTCAATGCCTCTCTGCACAAGGCGTTCCTGGAGAAAAAACGGGTCAGTCAACCATGCTTAGAATTACTAAACTAACTCATATCACATGGCTTTCTCGTGAGTATTTTACTTTGCAAAATGAACTGCTCTCTCACATCCAGTTCATATCTCAAAATGATGATTACCATTGACTGTCCTATTTTATTTTATTTTATTTTATTTCCCGATTAAAATAACGGATTTCAACCAATTTCATTCTTCCATCCCCTTATTGATTTGTGATGTGTAACTATCCGGGTGCAAGATATTTTCCCTTCGGTTTTCATATCGTCCAGCATTATGGCTACACTAGAGGTGCATCAGAAAAACACTCGCCAAGGGTTACCCAATTGCGGAATGCGACCCTCCCCAGACCGATAATCCCCTCATAAGCAGTTTGTGTGTATGCTTGCGCTTGTTTGTCTGAGAAAGCACAGCTCCGTGTTAAATCATTCACTTAACACAATCTACAATTTCTGTCCCAGTTTCACTCATCCGATGCACCTAGAATTGCTAGACAAGTAGTTCCCATCAATTTGTCTTTCTCTATCTCGCTATCCCACTCTGTCACCTTAACTGCTGACAATGTTTATAACAGGTTCAAATGGTTGTAGTATGAGAGAAATAACGGGACCTTACTTGATCTGTTTTGTTTATTCCTCTCATGCGCAATCATTTTTTTCTTTGGTTTCGTCAAACTTCCAGGCGGGACAAATGTGTTTGTCTGCCTACACGGATGTGTTCACCCACTGCTTCGGTTTGATTTCACCTGGTTCCGTAATAGGAAAACAACTGTTGTTTCACTTTTTCACATCCATCTACGCACACTCCTCGGGGATGCTATTCGACCTGGGAATCAGCGGGCTAGTTCTCCCTCTCGCTTACCTTATCATGGTGACCAGCCGAGCAGATAGAAATGGGTTGAACAGAAGTAAACAGTTGGTAGTCCATCGTTATCCAACGTCACTTCATGAACTAGCTATTTGATTACCAATTGATGACTACGGTCATGCACGTTTGGAAAGAATGAACGAAACTGGATTTTACATATAACTCATCAGGGAATCTTCGTGACTATGCGGTTCATCCGTTCCGCTTCTCATACAGTTCCTTTTAGATGGAAGAAATCTCGACGGTTACCTACCGTCACAACCTTTTTTAATCTTGTACACTTCCCAGTCCGCTACTACTACTCGAGCTCTTGGTCGGTTATCTATGATCTGATTCAGTGATCCGTTGCTAGGACTTGTGGGCATGTGGTGAAATCTGTCGGGCCAGTGGAATGCACGGTGTGCGTCATCCAGATGCCGGACCGTGAATTGAAAACCGACCACCAGTACTCTTGACTTTGATTCGACGTCAGCATTGCTCATCACCGGTCTGATTAACTGCAGTCTCTTGCAGCAAAGATGACCACGATCCGATTGATCATCGATCGCTCGTGTGCCACTTCTTCTTTGTTACATGACCCTAAATTTTGACATATTTTATTTTTTATATGTGCAACGTTTTGGTCGACTTCAATGCGGTCAATCCGATCGCAGATTTTCTCACTCGACGATAATGTTGTTTTACTCATGACGCTGATAATTCTCATTTTTTGCTAATCACACACAACCACCTCTCTGTCAACGTGCTTTCCTACGGGTGGCTGATCACTAGTGATATACGGATATACCTTATTTCTGACTCGGTGAAACCTTGTCATCGACGGGCAACTTTGATCGTTGAATGAAGGTGACCAGGAAGATAGTGTCATGTATCGTATTGGCCGCGAACGGACCGTGGTTCGCTTGAATTTGTAGCAACCAGTGATCGTTTTTCGGCTCGTCAGTCGAAACTTTCATTAGGTTTCCCAATTTCCTAATCCACTCGGTTAGTGAACTTATCATCTACTTCCGATCTGACACATTGGGTGCTGATTTTAAATTGACGGTATCTAGTCATCATAATAAAACTCATGACGCGCTTGAAGTATGTGCGCGGCAGTGAAAGCATACATAAATCGGCGAGTGTGGACGGACATTTTGGTTAGGTGATGATTCGCCCACGAAAACCTAATGAAATAGGATCTTGTAATTGGATGGATGGATGCGATTTCGATAGAATCCTCTCAGCTGCGACAAAACATAATCCTAACGCCATGCACAATGAGCGAAAAACTAGGATGCGTGTTTTGAAAGCACATAGCTTCACATGTTCCGTTACCACAGCATGGCAAAGTGAAACACAGTGAGATGCCGAGCGATTACTGTAATTTACTCGTCTGACTTCAGACTGCGTCGAACAGACAAAACTCAATGCGTGACTTTCGTTGAAAATTTTAGTGCATTGGTTGACAAAGTACTAGAGACCACCAGGTTCTATGTTGGTATCTCCACTGAAGCAGGAATGGTGAACAGTAAAATATT